GACAGCATCAAGCGACAAACTATCGTCGGATTTGATATGCTGTCCCACCCCGGTTAAGGTGTTATTGTCAGTATGTATTGATTACGCCACGTCCACGATCGTGCCCGAGCAGCCCTAAGTATTTTGAACAGTATCCGAATTTGAGGAGATTTTGGTTCCGTTCGTCGCTAAATTTGCCCAAGCTACGATCAAACCATATTATTTAGAAAGAGAAATCTTTGTGAAAAGATGTAATCGAATTTGTTTTGGTGTACGAGAAGTTTTAGCGGAGATATTTGACTTTGAAGGCGATGCAGTCGTGGAGCCAGTGATTAGCCTTTTACTGTTATATTATATATAGATGAGCACACACAAAATGTTACATCAGCCGCTCTAAATGAGCTCATGGATTAATTAAAAGAATGTAAAGGTATTATGCTATTATGTCAACTATATTTTATTGTTAAAATGTATTTATTTGACTAATTTAAGAATGTTTTTAAAATAGTTTTGGTTGACTATAAAATTTGTTTATAAAAACCGTTAAAAACCCGCAACACCTGATCATTCATTCTGAGATTGGGCCGCCTGTGTATTAACTATTGTAAACTTTTATCTCTCTGATTTCATCAAATATTGTAGATGTATTGACTAAAAGTTTAATTAACAAAGCTCTGGAGTGGGACATAAGATAACACCCATAAAGCACCAAAGGATAGGACAAGCAAACACTTGTCAGACCTTATCAAGTGCATCCAGGAATGTGGTGTTTCATTCAATGTGTGGGAGAAACGGAATGCAGACGGAAAAGGAAGTGGGGTACATGACTTTACAAGTTTGATGGGTTCAGACAAGAAGTTATTGATGAAGCATCTCCCTGATAAATTGAATGGTGTAGTCAAGCCAAAAAACTGTGACTCTGTTGTCAAGATCTGCAAGGTGATAAAAGTGCATTGCAAAGCCAACTCGCAACTGTTCAGCGCTTACCTACATATTACTATAATATATGTAGGCGCTGAAAAATTCCTTAATTTATAGGACTTTGACAAGATTTATCGAATGATGAATGAGTGTGATCCATCACCCGATAGAATTGAAGAATTCTTTGAACTGGTTAGTGCCATACAAATTACTATCATGTGTATTGCAAGAGCCTGTCATTTTCTTTGATTAACCCTGATTTTGTTACCAAGAATTCCTTTGAGAAAAAGCAATGAAAACTCAAAAGAATTGTTGGTAGACAAATTGAGGGTTAATAAAATTGTCTACCATAGCTTTCAAGTAACACAGTGCAACAATATATTGTACAACAGTTGAGTTCTTTTTAAAAATCAAAATGTACATTATTTTATACTAGGCAAGTGCATGTGGTATGCTTTTTGTTTCTCTTGGTGGTGAAGTTAGTGGATTTGGAAAACAACATGTCACACCATATATGCACTGCTTGGTGTACCATGTCCCAAACTTTATGCTGAGACACAATGGCATACGAAAGTTCACAGGGCAAGATAATAATGATTGCATTATAATCCTAAGTTCAAATCACACTTATACCATGTTATTTAACATCAATTATATGTGCACTTTCTCTTTTTGTGTGTACAAAGGGGTGGAGAAAAATAATGATGATGTCAGAAAATTTCACCTGACAAAGTCTAACAAATGGGATGCACCTAAAGACATTTTGCTTGTTAGCAAGCGACTGCAGTTCACCAGTCAACATGAGCGAGAACCAAGGGCATATATGAAGAGAAATGGTGAATACTGGTCAACTGAGATCAAAGAAGCAAGAAGCAAACGAAGAAAGTTGTTTGACACCCCTTGTCCAGAATCGCAACCTAACAATCCAGAACGTGTTTTAGATATCAATGGTCTTTCAGTTCTTGAAATTAAACAAGAGCTGAAGGAACTAGGAGTTAAAACACGAGCCCGAAAATTAGAAAAATTGCAAGAGATTTTGAAAAGAGCACTTGAAGATCAATAATCTTCCAAATTTTAATGTATATAATATATTATGTTGTGTTATAATACTCATTTGGTTCACTCTGTAATATGATAAGATGAAATATATGTATGTATATATAATTTGTATTTATGTTGTGGAGTATATATGTATAGTCTTTCTAACAATGCACGTTGTTATATAGTTAGTGTCAAAGTTCAATTCTCTGTTTTCGGATTGGACAAAAGCATATCACATAATGCCGTGTTTACTTTGTATTGCCCTGCTAACGAGGCAACCAGTCCATAATAGAACATTTATTGACCAGTAAACAATAGAATGGGTGCAGCACACCAACCGTTAAATTCAAAAATTAATTTGATTAAACTTTTTTATTAAACATTTACGGCAATCCATTTATCTATAAGTTTTGGTTTCAAAGATCACTCCAATAACCGGTGAATTATTCATACTTTGACACTTTAATCCCCGAGCCGACGGCGCAAAGCGCCGTGCGAGGGTACTAATTCCCCCCAGCTATTTACACCCGGGGAAACGAAAGCATTAGCGGAGTCTAAAGTTCATCAAATATCGCGGGCGTGGGTCACCAACGGTGTTGGGTGGGTGGTCATCCTCACTGATCTCAAAAATATGGCGGACTGTCACGAATAGCGGACACTGATTGGTCCAATTTAAAGTTTGCATTATAACGACTGCATGACGACAGCGATTCAGCGAAATAGCAAACATTTTTTGAGTTGATTTGATGATTGTTGAATTTCTTGCAAATATATTTCATTTTTGCTCGCATTTTTGCAAGATTTTGTAAATTTCAAAAGCTCTCTGAGAAAGGAACTGCGAAAGAATCGGCTAAAAGAAGGGAGCCGACGTTAACGAAGGTAAGTTTGTTTTAAATATTGATTTTATAATGGATTTAAAACCCGACTGCCTTTGCGTATATGAAACAACTAAACAAGACAGCAATAATTTCAGTGTATATTTAATATTGATTCCCTTTTTTATGATATTGAATTTTTTAAATAAATAAGTAAGCAAACTTATTTGCAAGCGAGAATTTTAAATCATTTTATTGCAAACTCAAAATTTATCGATAAAGCCATTTTAAAAGGCAGTTTAGTTTTATATTAAAGAACACTAATGATTTTAAAACGCTTTGCGAAGCGTTTGTGGTTGAATTTTACCTTAAATCGAGGCTTATATTTCGTATAATAACATACCTAACATATATATGTTGGGAAATTAATAATTTTGTGATTAAAAGTGATATTTATAAGTGATTTTTCATTTGTAAGAATATTCTTAAAAAATTATCATGTTACCATGACAACTTAGATACTTCATGTTCGGAAAATACAATGGTTTTGTCTGCAAGGCGAGGGTTTCTGCATGCATGTATTTTCTAGTATATACTAAATAATACCATGATGACCTCGGGTTCTTTTGTTCTCGCCGGGTGGTTTAATCACGATATTCCCGGCTTAGCGGGGAGATATCTAATTCTCCCGGCAAAGCCGGGCAGATTTCTAATTTCTCCCTGATTAAAAGTCATGAACCAAAATTCAAAGACACGACAAAGAATTTTCTTAATAGCTTTTACACAACAAACAAAATAATTACACTACAATGTTAATGACAGTAAGATAAAGTGTTAATTACTCGACTTATTAATATTCACTTTTCACTAAACATTTTACACAACTATATTATAAAGACAGTAATTTATTTACTCATATTAATGTTGATGTTCACAGTTCCACAATTCGCTCCTTGTAGTAGTCCGCTCAAATCTATACCCTTTCATCGCTAACCGTCACTGCATCTGCTCTCTTCTTCATTGGGCTCTGGGTGCTCTGTAGTTCTCTGTAGAGCGTTTGCTGAAGCGGCTTAAACTCAGCCGAATTAAACAGGTTTAACTTTGGATATTGCACTGAACTGTTCGGTTTAAACCACAAAACAGGCTATACATGACTTCATGGCGGTATTCTTTACCGTTTCTCTTCCGTACTTCTAGCATTAATCGGCTAAACGAGTGATTAATTTCGTCAACGCTCATCTCCTGCAAATCTAGCACACACTTTAATACTTCACTCTCGGCTTCAAAGTCACGCAACTCGGTATTTCTTGCCTTTGCCCATGCTTTATAAACATTCGTGCTCCACCTAGTGTGTTTGATAGGCTTCCATAACAAACGAGAAACGTTTATCCGCCATATCATTCTTAGTGAGCGTCCAAAAACAAGACTTGAGTTGAGTTAAAAAGTAACCCGGCACTGACACACGTATATTAAGAATTGTTTATTCCCAATGAATTTCCGACAATGGAAAATTGTTGTATACATCACTGATCATGCATTGTATTACACAATACTCGTACTATCAATTAATTTTGAACAATGAAAACACTAGCCTCACCTCGGTCATCATGGTATTACAAACTAATACCATGGTTTTTAAGAATATAGTGATTAAATCTCCCGCAAACCGAGGGAGGTTTGTGAAAGTCCCGAGGGAAAGCCTTCGCCCTCAGGCTTTCCCTCGGGACTTTCACAAACCTCCCTCGGTTCGCGGGAGATTTAATCACTATATTCTTAAAAACCATGGTATTACTTATAATAACATAACACTTATTTACTGGGACCTCCGGAAAGCAGTGTGTTTTGTGGCCCCTCGAATGCCGTTGTCGGTCTTGCGTGCACAAAACACACTGTTTCCCTTGGTCTTAGTAAATAAGTGATAAATGTGTTATGACATTACACAAAAAGGTTTCTCTCGCTGCATGGCAGCCGAGCAAGCAAAGTAAATAGAAATTTTCTCAATAGGAAACCTTGGTCCTTCCACAAGCTTCTTCCCATCAAAAATATGTTTCTTTGGTGACCAAACTACAACTGCTTTAACTGCAATGGGAAAGTCCACCTTTTTACCTTCTCCATGTTCATTAAGGTAGTACCAGAAAGACGGTAGTACCATTGAAAGACGACAAATCATTTCTCTAATAAATGATGGCCTTTATGCTCCGATGGTTTCCCCTTTCGTGAAGTGACATAACGCCAGCAATCAAGCTCAAGCTCAATGTAGCCCTTTCCCAATGACCTTGACTTTAGCATTGACAGAATGCCAGATGCAAATGCTCTAGTAGTGCTCTCTAATCGACTGTCAGAAGGCTTTGGTGGTCTTTCATACCCACTAGAAAACATAATATAATTTTAAATTGATATTATGCATGAGAGAAGTGTAAAAGAAACAAAATAATGTTTTAGTTTGATGTTAGTATACAGTATTAATAAAGAGTGTTGCCTTAAATGCCTTTATTCCTTACCGTATTAAATTGCTTGGCAAATTATCAGAAGGCTCCCAAGTACATGTGTGCAGAGGCCACCCAGCCCATTTAATAAGATATAGATAGTCCTAATAAAATAATAAAAGAAAATGTTAGTCACAATAGTTAATGCCATATTGTCAACCCGACACTAGTTTTCTAAACAGAAATTAGCAGTTGAAATTTCAACCAAATTCGCCACAATACTTATGCATTTCTGCTTTTTTCTGCTGATTATCCTTTCTACTTCGTAGATCTTGCCCTTTTTCCTTCGTGGCGCAGTATTATTGTATAAAACAACAGAACTATAAAATTGTCTAATTGCACGTAGACTACTCATGTTGACAAACGCTTCAACGCCATTTTGAGTTTTCTGACGATTTACCGCTGACAATATATTGGCTCAATGTCGCGAATTTCTGGCCATGTTAAATTTGGCCAAAATGTATTTTCAATTTTCGCGGCAAAACACAAGAAAAGCCTTCTGTGCTTTCCAGGTCAAAAGGCATTGTTCATAGCTTACAAGGGCAGGTGTTCGTATCAAATTATACTTGGAAAATATGGCTACAAATGCATTTACCAACAATACAAATACATGATCAGCTTAGGTAGACAACATAAGAATATTTCTAGAGCGAAATCGTTTAGTGATGGTCTTGTACAATATTACAATACCTGAAAAATGTGAAGCAAGTAGATTCTTTAACAATATTTTTGTTCAAACTGTGTTCACTCATAGCAGCACTTCAAGGTAATTTTCTCTGTTATATGTGCAGTAAATTCCTTCAAATTTGCATAGAATTTAGGTGAGGCTTCTCTTCACATGCATCGATAAAAATGAGAACAATCGCAACAAAGATTGGACAAAAAATTATTATTTCTTCTTCGAAGCAAAATTGCTGCCATGACAACAATTTTCCTTGACTTGAGGAAGTGAATTTGATACCCAACTACCGGCATGCATTGCACCATGGTTCCAGTAGGGAATAGGCCGATTGCAACCAGGCTGTGTTTGCACACACAATTAAATTTATTAATTTAGTAATTTATTAATTTTGTCACTATTACAACTATTCTATTAAATGGAATAATCATTATTTTTTGTACTTTTCCATTTAATCCTTCTTTTGTAAATAGAATAGTGGTTTATTTATAATCATAAATAGATAGATAAGTAAGGCGGTAATGACAAGAAGGCGGTAATGACAAGAAGGCATCCAGGAACCATATAAGGCTTGTAAGGGATGTCTCCTTGAGCTTAAAATTTAGATATAGTAAACATTCACATTTAATGGACACTGCTAACCCCAAGAGGGGAATCCAATCCTGATTCACCTCCAAAGACCAGCAGTGAACATGAAAATAAAATTATAGTTCATGCAGGTATTTCAACATTCTATTCCAGAAGCAATTCAATGTCTCAGCATTTCCAACTTTATCTGGGAGAGAACCTTGATAGAACATGGTGACGTGAGTTTTAGGACCTTGATAAAGTATGGTAAACTATTTTATGTTAGTTCTACAAACATGCGATCGATATAGACTAGCATTTCTTGCATTGTATTGATGAATTTGATTACTAGTAATAAGTTGTGAAAAGGTAAGGTAGTAGCTTGTTATGATAGGAATACATGAATTTTCCAATGTGTAACAAGTTAATCTTATGAATGTCAAGCACATTCAGATATATATAAATGAACGTGTAG